GTTGCGCGTTTCTGATTCTCCATACCTCCTTCCCACTCTGCATTAGCAAGTAGATAGCGAACTGTATCACCTTTCTTCAACCTATTCTCCTCATATTTCCCAACAGGACGCTTATACTTTATAGAAGGCCTAGATTCTACTCGTTCTAACCGAATGGTCAGCTTGGGAGCTAAACCCCACTTTGTAGAACCTGGAGCTCTAATGAGACGCGTTGGATAATTATTTAGGTAATCGATAACTTCTGGCAAATACTTTACCCATGCTCTTATTGATCTAGGGTTCGAAGTTATACTTTCGACAGCATACTGGATTTTATAAAGCATCTCTGCTAACGTCTTATTGAATCGTTCTACAAGAGCTAATCCACGATGATTATAAGCACCAATTACTCGAATTGTGACATTATGCGCCTCCATTAATCGAGCAGTTTCACCCATGAATTCTTTACCGCCATCACATTGTAGAAGTGTCGGGTATGTAAGAGGGTTGTTGGGATTATCATAAATTTTCTTGAATGCTTTAGCAACCTCTGAACTATTCTTCGATGTTAGAGGAACACTGGCTTTGAATCTGCTAGAGACGTCTATTATATTAAGCACCGCTATCCATTTTTTACCTTTATAATGATCATGCGTAAGAAAAAGAATGTCGCACATATGTACACAATTTGGTTTTTGAATTTTTCCATAACTTACTCGTGGAGTATTTTTCGGTAACGGAGCATACTTTTGCCACTCATTCTGGTTATGCAACCATTCACAAACTTTTTTGAATGGAAATCGATATCCTTCTTTCTTGAGATCTTTATATAATTTTCGACCATTGGAATGATAGCCTGTAGGTCGGTAAAAAAGCAATTTACAGATTAAGTTTAACTCCTCATTCGGATCAATTCTAATAATAGGCTTGCTCAATTTATGCGAAGCATGGTCTAAGGACCTACTCATTTTCGATATATTTTACTATAGCAATAAACTATGTTTCAGAAAGTCAAGAGATAAGTCAATATAATGTGCTATAAAAAATAAAAACAGAGTCTCATTACTTTGTAATAATCATGGCACTTCATAAACCCCAACCCCCCAATCGAACAACTTATAGATCAGCTACGAATAAAGAACTTGAGCTAGAACAAATTAACCAAGAACTTCAAGAGATATTGCAATCAGAGGTAGCCATCAACAAATCGAACGAGAAATATATAAAGGATCTGGAATGTAAATATATCCGGTGCGAGAATGAAATTCAATCCCTTAATAAAGAACTGGAACAGCTTGAGAATGCTTCGGAGAAAGAAAAGGCAGAGTTAAGATTGGAAATATTATCCCTTAAAAAAAGCTTATATCAAGCTAAAAAGGAGATCCGAGACAAGATATCTTATATTGATAATATAGAGAAACAATTACAAGAATCAGAAGAGCGGATTCAAAATCTAAGGCATAGACTTAAAGTTATTTCTTCTCGAA